GGGGAGGGGCAGAGGGAGAAGCAGACTCCCCGCCGAGCAGGGAGCCCGATGCGGGACTCGATCCCGGGACTCCAGGATCACGACCTGAGCCGAAGGCAGTCGCTTAACCGACTGAGCCACCCAGGCGCCCTCCTGTGTGATAAATTAATTGACCACATGAGTGAGTTTATTCCTGGGCTCTCTATTCTCTCCCACTGATCTGTGTCTGTTCTCGTTGCCAGTACCACAGTGTTTTGATTACTAGCTTTCTTGCAGAGCTTGAAATCAGGGAGTATGATGCCTCCAGCTTTGTTCTTCTTTCTCAGGATTGCTTTGGCTACTCAGGGTCTTTTGTGGTTCCATACACATTTTAGGATTCTTTGTTCTAGTTCCGTGAAAATGCCACTGGTATTTTGATGAGGCTTACATTGAATCTGTAGATTGCTCTGGGTGGTATGGACATTTTAACAATATTAATTCTTCCATGTGACTTTTTTTTTTTAAAGATTTTATTTATTTATTTGACAGAGAGAGAGACAGCTAGAGAGGGAACACAAGCAGGGGGAGTGGGAGAGGGAGAAGCAGGCTTCCCGCTGAGCAGGGAGCCTGATGCGGGGCTCGATCCCAGGACCCTGGAATCATGACCTGAGCCGAAGGCAGGCGCTTAACGACTGAGCCACCCAGGCGCCCCCCCATGTGACTTATTTAGCATGATACCCTCCCTCTAGGTTCATACAGGTTGTCGCAAATGTCAACATTTCATTCTTTTTATGGCTTTATACATATATATAGAGAGAGAGAGAGTGTGTTTGTGTATATATATATGGTGTATATATATATATCTCACATACGTGTATATGTATATATGGGGTGTGTGTCTGTGTGTGTGTGTGTGTGTACACACCACATCTTCTTTATCCATTCATCTATCAGTGGGCACTTAGGCTGCTTCCATATCTTGGCTATTGTAAATAATGCTGCAGTAAACACAGGGGTGCATGTATCCCTTTAAATCAGTGTTCTTATTTTCTTTGGATAAATACCCAGAAGTGAAATTGCTGGATTGCATAAAATTTCTTATTCTTATTAAAAAAAGAAATGTGATTCATTTTCTTAAAGATTCCAAAATGACACTTTGTTACCCTAAAGTCTGAATTAGGACAGGTAGGATTACAGTGAAACTCTAGCAGAGTCATGTGAATGAAATCTGAATAAAGACAAACCTTTCCAAAGAAGGGTCATATGTCTACAAGGGAGGAAAATCTGGTCCACCCAACCAGGTAAATAGTACACTGGAAGGCTTTATTGTGTTCTACTGCTAATGTTCATCTAGTGCTGATTGATTTTCCTATTAGAATGTAATGCAGATATAATCTGAGAGCTTTTTGACAATGAAGACCACCACAGCTAAGAAAAAGAACACCATTTATATTTCAGCGATCCAGATGGGTTATGATAAATGGCTGCATAACACATTTCAAGTAGAAGATATGTAGACAGTGTTTCCCATTATTTTTTCATGTTAAGGGACTATTAGAATAGAAGGTATTCTATTAAACTGCACAAATATAAAATGTATATAACTGGACCGCTTTCTTCCACCATACACAAAAATAAACTCAAAGTGTATTAAAGACCTAAATGTAAGACCCGAAAGCATAAAACTCCTAGAAGAAAGCATCGGCAGTAAACTTTTGGGCACCAGTCTTAGTGATATCTTTTTGGACCAGTCTCCTTAGGCAAGGGCAACAAAAGCTGAGATAAACAAATGGATGACATCAAACTAAAAAGCCTTTGCACACCAAAGGAAACCATCAAAAAACAAAAAGGCAACTTACTGAATGAGAAGCTATTTGCAAATCATACATCCAATAAGGGTTACGTCCAAAGTATATAAAGAACATACACAATTTAATATAAAAAACAAATAATTTGATTAAAAATGGGCAGAAGCCTTGAAAAGACATTTTTTCCAAACAAGACATGCAGATGGCCAATAAGCACATGAAAAATGCTCAACCTCACTCGTCATCAGGGAAACGCAAATCAAAACCACAAGGAGATATCACTTCACACTGGTCAGATGCGCAATTATCAAAAAGACAAAAAATAATTAAACACTGGTGAGGGGGTAGAGAAAAGGGAGTTCCACTGTTGGTGGGAATGTAAATTGTTGCAGCCACCATGAGAAACATTACGGAGGGTCTTCAAAAACTTAAAAAAAAATAGAACTCCCACGCAGTCCAGCAATTCCACTTCTGGGTGTTTATCTCAAGAAAACAAAAACACTAATTCAAAGAAATATATGCCCTGCCCATGTTCATTGCAGCATTATTTACAAAAGCCAAGGTATGGAAGCATCCTAAGTACCCATCCGTAGTTGAATGGATATACAAGATGTGGTGTATACACACACACACACACACACACACACACACACAGGAATATTACTCAGCCATAACCAAGAATGAAATCTTGCCATCTGTGACAACACAAATGGACCTAGAAGGTATTATGCTAAGTGAAATAAGGCAAAGGAAGAAAAATACCATATGATTTCAATTGTACTTGAATCTTAAAAGATTGACTCAATCTTAAAAACAAAACAAACAAAACAAAACAGAAACAGACTCATAGAAACAGCAAACTGTTGTTTACCAGAGGGAGCGGATAAAGGCGTGGAAGGAAGAGGTAAAGAGGATTAAGAGGTACAAGCTTCCGATTTTAAAATAAATAAGTCATGGAGATGTAATGTACAGTGTACCGTGTAGGAAATACAGTCAATAATATTGTAGTAACTTTGTGTGGTAACTAGACTTACCACGGGGATCATTTTGCAATGTATAAAAATACTGAATCACACATGATACACATCTGAAACTAAGAAGGATAGTGTGTCAATTGTACTTCAATAAAAAAATAATAAAAACTTGAAAATAAAGCAGTGCTGGAAGGGGAAAGAAGGAAAATGAATCAGAGGAACTGTCAGACGGACTGAATTACAGCATTTGACACACCTGTTCCATAGCCCCATCCTGTCCACCTGTGGCTGCTTAAATGTAAATGTAAATTCATTACATTAAATAAAATGAAAAATTCAATTTCCCAGTTGCACCAGCCACTCTTCAAGTGTTCAGTTGTTACATGTCTACTTCACTGGAGATTACAGATATAGAACATTTCCATCACTGCATAAAATTCTACTGGGCCGCATCGCCTTACACACACACACACACACCACAGTCATCAGTCAAGGACCATGGTAATAGAATTAAAGTTTCTATGCTATACACTAAACTTTGGCCTCTATTCCCCTTGTTTTAATTAATTTGATTATCAGGTTTTCTTATTAAATTAATATATGCCATTAAGATTTTCCCCCCTCAGTTGTCAATCCCTGATTCAGTTACTAAAAGATGTTATAACGTATCTTTAAGTAAAAAATAATTTGGATACTGCCCTTCCTGGAAGGACGGACATAGCTATGAATTCGGGCATGTATTTGGTTCAAATGAAAAGACTGATACATTTAACAAAACTTACAATCTATAGAGTGCTAGCGTATCTGTACTGACTAGATCCTTACATGTCGGGTCCCAACTGTGCTGTGAGTACTTAAGTAATTTAACTGCTCTGAGGCTCAGTTTCTTAAGCTGTACAGGGAATTATAAGAGATTTTTGGTAAAGATGAAATGAGATAGTGCATGGAGATGCACAGACTTCGCAGACATGAGCAAGGAATGATTAACAGTAACCACCATCTATGATGGCAAGTCAGTAGGCGTTAAAGATTTCAATGACTTCTGTACCTCGATCTAGGAATCGCTTTTCCCACCAAAGAACCAGAGGCCTGCAGAAAATCCCACCTCGTCCTGCCAAAAGGGCAGGGCAGAGAACCGATTGACAAATAATCGTTAGTGCAGTGCATTTCGTGAGAATACGATTTTGTGCTTTTATAAAGCAGCCTGTGATTTATAGTTATTACTCTAGAGTGGCCGACCTCACCTCGGGAGGAAGCTGCTCTTTTCTTTTCAGGAGGAGGGGGCATTTCAAAGGCTGTAACTGCGCACGTCAGAGCCCCAGTCCTGCTCTGAGGATAATGCAGAGGCCCCTTTTCACTGTGGATGGACACTGCTGAGCAGCGCGCAGAAGGCGCCCGAGGCCAAAGGAAACGCGCACGCCCCCGCACACACAGTGCACCCTCCGGAATCTGGAGCCCCTGGAGAGAGTTAATAAAAGCATCACAGTGTTCAACGATGACTACGCACGACCTGCACTAACCCATCTGTCCACACGCGCGGTCACCCCTCAAGCACCCGCCCCGCCCGCGGGGCCAGGACCCACCGGAGGATGGGCACATGAACTCAACAGCCCGTCTTCGTTGAGACTCTGGGGTTTTGTTCATCGTGGATTTTTGCCTCACTTTTGATCCTTTAAATGTTGCAGTAAAATGGTGCGCATCCCGATCGCTGAGGTTTTTGCCGCTGCTCGACAAGGTCCGCCGCGGCGCGCACTTCACCGCCGCTCCCTTAGCCCGCCCCGCGGCTGGAAGATGGTCTCGCGAGGGTTAGTGCGCGTCTCGCGCGGCGGGAGCGGCGGAGCTTAGGACCCAGCGGCGAGCAGAGGGGACTCGGGTCGGGGCCGCAAGCGAGCGGAGCCGGGAGCGGGGGGAGGCGGGGAGGGGGAGCCGCGGCGAGCTCTGGTGGCGCGGGGGCGTGCGCGAGAGCCGGCCCGGGGCGCGCGTTTTCCTTTTTGCAGTGCGGGGCGGTCGCCGTCCTCCCCAGTCTTCCGTACAGTATGTTCCATCCTACAGTGACTCTGGGGTGAAGAGACGAGCTAGTGACCGAAAGAGGGACACACTGGCCTGGAGAAAGCTGCAGCAGTCAGGGAAGATGGGAACGTAAAGGAAGCAAAATACCGGCGTGCTCCCTGTCGCAGGCCTGAGCTCCCTGCTCCGGGGCCTTTGGTGCACCTTGCAGGTCCGCCGGCCCCCCAGCTCGTGCGGAGACCCGGAGCCAGACCTGAAGGCAGCACCGCACACCGTGGTCTTAGGCGGCCGGCTCGGCCAGGCTCGGGAGTGGAGGAAGAGGAGGGCCAAGGACACAGAAGAGGAAGTGGCTGGGGTTTGCCACACGGACTCGGATCAAATAGCTGGTATCTAAAATCATACTCTAAGTGCCCAACCACATGGCCTCAGAAACATCAGATGTCAGACTGATGGGGATGGGAGCATATTTACAGTCCCTCAGCTTCCACAGGCCAGCATGTTAAGAGTGACTGAAAGACTGGATGACATTTTTCCAGTTGAGCCTTTATATTAAAGAGGAAACACAAGAAAAGTCAGTCAAATAATGAGACGGTTATTTAGGACATTTAAATTGTATTTCTGAACTTAAGTGAATCAATGTCAGAGGAAACAATGACCTATTTAGATAAAATGCACCTGGATAAAGGTGATTATAGGAAGACTTGATAAGATAGGACACACATGGCATGATCTAAAATTCACTTACGGGGGGGCGCCTGGCTGGCTCCTTCAGTAGAGCATGCGACTCTTGATCTTGGGGTTGTGAATTCAAGCCCCATGTTGGGTGTAGAGATTACTTAAAAATAAAAAATCTTTAAAAAAAAATTCACTTACAGAAATTTTCGTAAGTTCAAAGAATTGTTAAGCGGAAATTAAAGACTGCGGTAAGTATTGCTAAGGCCCCTTAGGATAGAGTCCCTCCTTTCTGTATATCCAGAAGGAGAGCGAAGGAGAAGCCAGGTGCAGCCATGTGAAGTGAGAATGAACGTACATTCCTGGAGAATTTGTACAACTACTTGTCACTCAGAATGGGCACCTGGATCCTGGCTTCCTGAGAGTGGTTTGGAAAGCCTGAAACCATGGGGACTTAGATGACACGTACAATTTGTTATTAGAAATCCCAAAGACAGAGTAATCATTCTAGGACAGACGTATCTGCAGTATGTGAGAGGACAAATCGCCAACACAGATCCTGGACGATCAACAGAAAGCCAGGAGCCAGGACCCAGAGCAGAACAATTCCCTTGACCACATCTAGTGAATGGGTATTTATCACTGGAACAATGGTGCATATAATTTGTGATATATGCATTCATGCTTGAGTCGAGCGTTTAGCAAATAGAACCTAGTTGTATGTCGATGAATGACAGTAAAATAAAATTTATAAATTCCTGAATTAAGGAGTCCCTCTGGGGAATGCTAAAAATGATACCTTCAGCTATCAGCAATCCAAACTGTAGTGCTTAGAATGGGCAGGCTAGTTAAACAGCGTAGCCTGACTTAAGTACCAGCTATTGAATCAGAATCATCTTGGAGTGCTTGCTAGAAACAGAAATCTTTAGCACCCATCCCAGATGCACTGAATCGGGGCTTAAGGATCTCCCTGTCAGCCACTTCCCTAGGCAGTTGTGAGACCATCAAACAAACCATGAGCAGAGCTTATATTTCAAAACGAGTAAATGAGGACTTCGCCACTAAGAAGATCTGAGACTTCTGACCTTTCTAAAAGGCGTGGGGCAGGAGCCTCTGTCCTGGATCCTGCCCCTGGGACATCCAAGAGCCCCAAAACTGCCTACGCTCTTGAGCCAGACCCAGGATTTTCTCAAATAGGTAGAAGAAAGGGCTTCCACCAGTACCTGTGGGATGACCAGATCGAGGCCCCAGGAGCTCCATTCTTGAGATTTTTAACCTGTCCCCCCAAGGAACCCCATGGGCAGAGTGCAGGGGAAATTGCCCTGACTGCCCACCATCGTGCAGGATGAGAACTCCCTCTGGGACCCCAAACACCCCTACAGGTGTATAACTGACAATGTCTGGGGAGGGAAGGAATGCTTCAAATGCTGGAGAATAAGGCTTGTTCTGGGGTTTGTTCTTTCTTAAAGATTTTATTTATTTATTTGACAGAGAGAGAGCGAGTACAAGCAGGGGGAGCGGCAAGCAGAGGGACAGGGAGAAGCAGGCTCCCCGCTGAGCAGGGAGCCCGATGCGGGGTTCGATCCCAGGACCCTGGGATCATGACCTGAGGCGAAGGCAGAAGCCGAATGACTGAGCCCCCCCAGGAGTCCCTGGGGTCTGTTCTTTAGCATGGATATAACAGGAGCATCTAATTATTACATGGAAATGAAGATTGGTCTTTCCCGTGCCCTCAAGGGAACCACGAGCCTGCACCCCTAACAGCTGAGCCCTCAAGCAAATGTGTGTGAATGTTTTTATGTTAAAGGAAATAAACCTTTTAGTTAAAAATAAATAATATATTGATGTCAGTTTCTTAGTTTTGACAAATCCTCCCTGTAATGTAAGATGTTAACAATGAGGGGAAACAGGTGGGAGGTTATATGCAAACTCTCCTCTTCTTGCAGTTTTAAGCCTGACATTAAAATATTTAAATATTTTAAATATTATGAGGATAT